CCCTCCCACTCGCCATTGAAAAGGGCTGGCTCGGCGCTGGCTCCTTGCAGTCGGCGAACTGTCTGGGCGGGAGGAACTGTAAGTCTGAGCTGCACGTAGCGGCCCGAGAGAGCTGAACAGAGTGCGCTGAGTGGCAGTGGCTGTAGCAGTGGCAGTTGCAGAGGCGACACCGGAGGCACAGGCAGCCCAGGCAACCCGGGCGGCCCCAAAACCTCACAAGCAACCTTCACAACACCGGGTGCTCCGCGGACTGCGAGCTGTGGCGGTAGAGCCCGCTACAGCAATCGCAGTCTTGTGGAGCAGGCGCAAGCCTTTTTTTTCTCTTTTTTTCTTCCCACTTCATTCTACTCTACTGGCTACAATCACAAGGTGAGTATTGGGTCGGGTGCCAGAACCGAGTGCGGGTGTGAAGCTTGAGTCTCGCACTTAGTGTGCGGAGGCTTCCTGCTGCCTGCACCTGGGGTCTTGACTATGACCACATAGTGGTTTCAAAGACCCTTCTGGTGTCCTCCCTTCCCCCTACCCTCATCTCTTTCCTGGAGGTAAGAGAAAGAGGAAACCTCGGAAATGAGCGCAGGTAGAATATATTTTTGGCACTGCCACCGCTCGGCTTGGCTTGGTTACTTTTCGGAAACTCTCACTTCTGTCAGAAAAGTGTCCGCGCATGAATTTCCCCGAAATTGGCCGTGCAGAAAGGTCTTTGACTTTAACAGATACAGCCAGCTTTAGTGAGGCCGAGAGAAACTCTAAGATTGGGGCAGGTCCTGAGAAAAGATCACATCCCTCTCGGGCTAGCGTGGCGGAACGGTCCGAGCCGAGGGGCAATGCCCCAAGCCCAGCGCCCGCTCAGACCTCGCGCCGGTGGACCCTGCTGTGCTCTTACCTCTGGGGGCTTGGGCTTGGACCTTTGCCAGGCTGGCTCTAATCCTTTGGGTCCGGACCCTGGCACGGAGCGACGGAGAGTGCAGCGCGCCAAGGAGCGCGCAGGATCCCCCGGGCAGTTCCGCCAGGCGTTCGCCCCCCCCCCTTCCTTCCGCCCTACTTACCGAGCTGTGCTCAGCCAGCACCTGCTGGATGCGGAGATGGTAGGTGTGAGAAATTCTGCCCAATTTTTTTTAAAAAAGAACTCCTCACCATGCGTAGCTGGAAAGGGAAAAAAAAAAAAAAAAGCACCCTTTTCTCATTGACAAAAAGAAAGAAACTTTCTAAGAGCATAGCGGAACGTAAGAGGGGGTTGCTCTCTCTCTAAAGAAATGACTTTTAATCCCGTTGCCATAAAATACCTACTTATCCCATAAGTGAATGCCGTTTACTGAGATAGAACCGAAAAACAGTTCGTCTCTCCACAAGGGAATTATTTTTAAAGCGCGTAGTCATAAAACGGCCACTTTTTTACGAAAAGAATGGCCTCTGAATGTGCCCTCGGAAAAGGTGACTTTTTAAAAGCATGGAGCCGTGAATGGGTCCTTTTCTTTAGCGACTTTAGAGAAGCAGAGCGGCAGTTGGCCTTCCGCTGGAGACAAGGCTTGCATAGGAGTGCTTACCCGCAACTTGTCTTCATACCCTCGCAGAAAAAAGGAAAAAGAAAAAGAAAAACCACGGGGGCAGGGGGCACTTCGGAAGATTGTATCTATAGGTGAACCACTTCCATTCCTACCTCCAAGAAAGACTTTTAGAGCTCAACTGAAAATGGCCTTTTGGCTTCCAGAATAAATTATTCCGCGCTTGGATGCTTTGGCCGCCTTTGCGGTTTGGGGTGCGGTGTGCAGGGTGCCATGATGCGTGTGTGGAGCGCCTGTGAGAGCGTGTCTGCGGGCGGCACTCGCGTTTCTGAGCCTGGTGCCCTTCCAAAATATTGGCTCCGGGGCTGGGAATCAAAACTTGCGCCACTGCGGCACACGCCCACAAAGCAAGGATCGGAGGGAAAGGGGCTAGGACAAAAGACTACAGAAAATTCAACAGAAAGAACAAAACCAAAGCAAGTCCTTGTGTGAAACATCCCAAGATGGAATTTAAACCTAGCATAGGGCCTGTTTCCCTAGGAAGGAAAGTGCGGGGAAGAAAGTGTTTAGAATCGGGAGTGGCGGGGAGGGGGCAGGAAATATGGGGAGAGGTGACGGTGTTGACAAGCCGCTCGCGTGTTCTTAGCGCTGCAACAAGGAAACAACCTGAGGAGCGTGCAGAGAAGAATTCTAGACGCTGAGCACAACACAGGGGAAGGTAGCCGCGCTGTATGACTAAAGCAACTCGCCTCCCTCCCATAGAAGGTTAAAACAGGTGTGATTCAAAAAAGGAACTTGGGGGTTCCTTATGAACTTGGTACAAGCTGTGGAATTCCACTCAGTCGTGTTTGAAACAAACTCGCTCAACAACGGGCAGAATATCAGCCGAAGAGACTGCCCTTTCGTGCGCGCGCGACCGGGCGCGCGCGCGTTGGGGGGACATTTGAAAGCAAGTCGAAGTAATAGTATTTGTACTGTTTCCCCCTTTCTTGTCTTTGTCTGGTTCCGCCGAGGAAGCGCGGACGGTTTTGAGGACTGAACCGGCACGGACGAGCTAAGGTTAAAGATACCTTTCTCCCTCTGCTAAATTAAGAATTGCCCCGCGTAGCTCCGGCGGTCTGAGTCCAGCCGCTAACGCCCCCGCGCCGCGCTAGCCCCAGCGGCGAGGGAGAGCCTTTGGGAGCGAGGCCGGAGAACCCGGTTCTCCTGGAGCCTTTGCGCGGTCAGCCCCTCCTCCTGGCTATGATGTCAGCCCTGAGAGAAGCTCGAAGGGCCCTGGAGGAGAACCGCTGGCTAGCCCGGGCCGGGAGTGCGAGCAGCCTTTCGGGCGCGCTCCCTCTGCGCAGCCTCTCTCGCTTCCTTAGGGCCTCCTTCCCGCGCTCTCACCCTCCGCCCCGCCCGCCTTTCGGCTGCTTAGCTCCCAGAGCCCGGGGGCGGCCGCGCGAGAGGCGGGGGAGGCCACTGCGGCCCGACCGTGGTCGGTTTTGAACCGGGGATCAAACACAGATTTCGGGTCTTTCCGACCCCTTTTCCTCCTTTTCCCCGCCCGGCTCTCTTCCCTTTTCATTTTGCACCTTCACTGCGCACTGTGGATTTACTTATTTAGCGTCATTTTAGAGGGCAAGTTCATCAGACGAAATAATAAAAGTTAGCAGTGTTAAATTTCCGCTGTTTTCTCTCCTCCTCTGCTCATAAGGAAGAGGGATGTGAAGACCGGCGTTTTTATAATCCCGTGGCTGCCTCTACGCCTGCAACTGAGAAAGCTCCCTAGAAGTCAAAGAGCTGGTGCGGTGGGGGATGGGGCCAGTCGAAGGCAATTTCGCAGGGTGGGTAGCCTGCTTAACTGAAAGAAGGGACTGAAAATAGGGAGTTGGGGACAAAAAGGTTCTAGAAGCTGCTGCCGCAGGGGAGAGGCCACGGTGCCCTTTATTGTAAGGCTGTGCACTCCCTTCTAGAGACCCGCGCGCCAAATTAGGAAGATACAGAAATGGGATTTTACAAGACTGAAGCCCACTGCGACTTACCTTCTAAGTTTGCTCTCCCTTTTTTAAGAAACAACCCCTGCTTTCCCGAATTTGAGGCTAATACGTTGCCCTTGATTGCGGACAATTATTATTATTACTATTATTTTAGCTCTGGGAAAAGAACCACAGCTCCCAGTTAGAGAAGGCTGCACTTGTACAGCGCAAGAAGGAGGGGAATGGAGGCAGGACATGTGGACGCAGCTGGGCCTTGGAACTGACTGACCTTCCCAAGGAAATAACATTCAGAGGCTATCGCTAGGAACTGCTTTCCTATTGTGTTTTGATTTGGAGGCAGGTGGGGGATTTCAGGGAAAGGAGCAGGAGCAAAGAATTCTGATTTGGATTTGTAAATCTAAGGTTTTGTTTTCTTCTCTTTGATGGAAAGCTTTCCTTTAGATGATATATCAGCAAAGGCAGCAAGCTTAAAGTTACTATGCGTTTGAAATATAGAAATGGGAAGGAAACTCAGACCAAGCATAAACACACATTCATTTTTTAGAGTTCAGTCATTTGGTAAGGATTGAAAGAAGTCTCTTTATTTTAATCACCCGAATGACATTCTAATGGACCCCCAAGTAATGGTGGGTTTTTTCAGCTGGGAGCCCTGGCAAAACGGACTGCAGGTTTCACATTATTTCTTCTCTTGATATTAAAAACTTTGTTTTTTTCAAGATAGAAATTCCTGATAGCTTACAGACTGCTGGTGGCAGGAAGAAATCTAGTAAGAGATTCAGAAAGCAGAAAATTATCCTTCTTTCTATGCAAGTAGTCCACAACAACCTTTATCTAGGATTTATAAGGTTCCTGGGGAAAGGAAGGGAGGCACACCTATGTTATATAAACCACTGGCTTTGAGCTATATCGATGAAATAGTATGTCCGTCAGGGTTTTCTGTTAGTGGGAAAGGATATTATTCAGGCGCTGAAAATTTGAAACCTAATTTTCTCCATAATATCTTTCTTCCCATATTTTAAAGGTGTCATTCATTTATTTATTCACCTAAAAATCCACAAACATTAATTAGTTACCTACTGTGCTAGACAATGTGCTAGACTCCAGGAATACAAAAGAGAATATGAAAACATGTCTTGGGCCTCTGTGAGCCAGGAACCTTACAAATTTATGATACAATGTGATAAAAGCTATAATTGAGCATAATGGAGGGAGGAATTAATTTGTGCTAAGAGGTCGAGAAAAGATTCATGAAGTAGGGGTTTGTCTCTGGCTTTAAAAAGTAGGTATCCCTAGGTAGTGGCTAGCCAGGATGTAGGTCTGGAAGAGCCTGACACAATTAAGTAAGGAAAGGTGTTGGGGGGGGG